CTGCACAGCAGCGAACCGCGACGAGCGCGGGTTGTAACGAGTTAGCGCACATAGCGTAGCGGCTGGCTGCCGGCAGGGGAATGCCGCGCGCTACGAGCCCAGCCGAGCGCCGAGACCCGGGCGGCCCGGCCGCGCCGGCGCGCCGAGCTCCACGTGACAGGACCGCCCCCGCTATTCGCCGCACAACCAGCCCGTGCTTTCTCTACCGGTGGCTGGACATCTTTCACATGTATAACCGTTAGCCTCAATTAACTCCTCAGCATAATAACATTAATGGAAAATTGAAGTCTCGGTTAACTGATCTGATTTTCAGAGAAGACATAGTAATAAGTAGATGCTTATTTGCTTTTACCGCGTCTTAAAACTACTTACTTTGTATCTTACATCTTACAAATATTGCAAAACGCAGAACAAAAATAAGTATGATTAATAAATATCTAGAAGTGCAATGTACTGAAGAACTCATATTCCAAGTTGACTATTATTTTCACAACTGGAACATAAATAGACATTACAATTTTAGTGCCTCTTGTTTATATAAAACAATGCATTAATTGGTGATACAGAATCGATTGTGATTTATAATATTGTATTACAGACCAGTCATTCACATAATAATTGTTACGAAGACTAGGTTATATAAATATGAAATAGCAATCTTGCCAGTAACTTATTACATACATATACTGATATACTAACTATAATAAACTTACTGCCGATAAATGGTTCTACTTAATGGAGCAAATGAAACTGCCGTTGATGAATCGCTACGTGTTTGCTGGGGGAGATATTTTTATATGAGAGACGTTATTGGTATAAAAGTAAAATTATTTACAAATACAACGTACTACATATTATGTATTTTGTTTAATCACAAAGTTTTAGTTTTTACTCTTTTCACACCTTTCAACACTTGTGAAAAAAATGTAATAAAGTGAGATTAAATCAGGATAATGTCAAACTTTAGCAACTGTTAAACATGGATATCTCACAATAAGAAGAATTCATACCTAATCTAGTATTATTGGGATTGTTGGTAATGGGGTCTAACTGACTTATTGCTAGCAATACACCCTGTCAGGTCGACCTCCACGCGATTTCCCCTGGAAACCATCGTGGTTAATTCTAGTGGAATTCGTCACAATAGGCTAACTGACCTACTTTCATTGTCACCTATCAGCAATTACTGGTGCCCCGCCAGCGTACACCGATAGCGTAGGCGAGATTACCATTCCATTACCACCCATTAAAAAAAATACCTAGTATGTTTACCACGCTGGTAAAAGTGACACCAGATAACTTTATTAGTTAAATTTCTAATGTTATATAATTTAAAACAAAATATATCTAATATATTTTTCTTGGATTAATGTATAATGCAATGTTCACTTTCATTGAATATTATTCTAATAAGTTATTCTAAAAACCTATTGACGACCTCGGCACTGTAACGTCCGATGCAACGTCCTTCATGTTGCGAGTTCTCTCCCTCTCTACACAATACATGCACAAACATTTGTATTTATATCTACCTACGTCTATTCGACGTTTACTACTCACTGACTACCCATAGAACATGTTCTGCTTAGTTAGGAACTAAATGACGCTTGCAATATGTCCATATTTATTTATTTTATACTAGTGATCCGACTTGTGTACAAATAAAAAATATCTAAATTACAGAGAAATCTTATTCAAAATTAATTATGTAATATAGAAGAATTAAGCAGAAAAATAAACACGGACTAAGACTTCATTTCATGCTACTTAAAGATTCCTCACAGAAACATTTGCAACCAAGCAAAATCAAACAACTACGAAAGTCAAACGTACCTGTACAGGTACACAGTAAATATACTGAACCGACTACAGTCTATATATAATACATAGGTATCCGTACTTGTGATGACGTTATATAGGTATATATCTAAACATGACGCCAATGTTGACACAGCAATAAGTTACTCAGCGATATCATCAGCTATAAACGAGCAATGTTCTGTGGTAGATTTCTACATAATATATGTACCTACTACAGCAATAACTTGCTATATTAGTAATATCTTCGTTATTTTAGCAGATTACATACTTTATATTAGATATACAAATTTTGAAACTAAATTAATAAATTATTAAACTTAGATATGTTCAATACATAATAAATAATACTTCCAACTAATTGACATATTTATTTTGATACTTTCTCTCGAAGTAGGAAATTAAATAACGTAATAAACACAAAATACTGTCGATGGAAGAGCCTATGGCGTAATAAACCAGAAAAGTTTAACTTTAAATTGCTTATTAATTAAAATAAAAAAATAACTAATAACTACTAACAAGTTCTTATAACTTCCATAAAAATTGTGGATAAAAATAAAAAAAATATATGATTAAATGTAAACAATATAATCAGGTTAAACTATAAAATGTATAATATAGGGAATGGTTTAGAAATGTTCAAATAATAAGTTAAAACAAGCTAAATAAACCGAAATCTATTAATATTACCAAGCTGAGAACAGTGTTTGTCCACCGCTTTTAAATTTAGTCATGCTCCAGAATTAAAACTTACTACATTACATTACAGGACTATGTCATAAAAATTAAAGAGTAATTATTCTGATTGATTGAATTAATGCTTGAAATACTTATGATTCAAGATAAGGTTATGTAACGCGCACACCATGTGACCGAGTACTTTTGTAATCCAGGAAAAATGAAAAAAATCTGTTTCAACTAACCTTATTTATATGTTACCACGGATAAATAATGTATCTGTATATTCGTTACATATAAAATAATCTATTTATAAATGTTGTATGCAATGGTGGACTTATCTCTGACAGAGATCTCTTCCAGTATTCTGCATAAATAATAATTTTCTCTATGTACCTAATTAAGATTTCTATTATTTTTCACACAGGCACGTAATTGTATTTACATCAAAAATATAGTACATTCTAAAATGGTATTTACGACAATTCCACTATGACACAATTTTCTTTAATGAAATGCGCTCTATCTGAGTAGCTATGTCAAGTATCAATTCTTTCTTCATGATAATGACGAAATGAGAAAACAATAATTTAACAAGTATTAGCTTCCAGAATTTTGTAAGAGGCATTCAGATCAAAACCATATACACTAACACTAAAGATAGAGAACTCCAAATGAAACCAAATCTGTCAAGGCGACTGCCCATCGTAATAACAATACACATAGTTACAAAATTTTACTTTTTGAAATTTTCGGAAGTTTTTTTCACTTTTCCTTTATATTTTAAGACTGTGAATTCAAATCTACCAGCCGTTTCTATCTATCAGCTTTTATTTTTCGTACACAGCTTTTTTATGTTTTATGTGAGGGTAGGCGCATATTCATGAATGTCTACATCAAGGAGACGTTGTTTAAACGATTCAAAGTGTTTCTACTTTATTTGTGGTGAATATGTTTTCAAAAATTATAGAAAATCGGTGACAGTTTTCATAAAAACCGCGTATACCAACTATTTTAAAGTCCAAGTGTGTAATTTGGACAAGCCGAGGGTTCGTAAAACTGTTTGCCAATATTGTGTCATTAGTTTGCGACAATGGTCAAGTGGGAAAAGAAATTCCCTGTTCAAAGTCCCCATGATCTGGCGAAAACCAAAAAAAAACAAAATGATGATTGTTATTTTTGTGTAGTTAATGTAAACGGCATTAATTCAAATAACCGCAGTAAATGTATTTATCCTGATTTACCATCTGCTAAACGGCCAACTTTGATACCTATTCTAGCTCAAGAGCCTATACCACCAGTTTTACCTTCGACATCTGCAGTAGCTTCTTGCCCAATGGAAACAGACGGCATAATAGACGATACATCCCGACCAAAGAACTTTTTAACCAAAACGAGTTGAATGACTGCTAGTTAAGGATGAAAATTTTGTTAAAACAATGAATGGAAAAGAGTCCAAAGCATGAAAATAATTTGTGTCAGTGATGAAAAACTTCCTGAGTAATACTAAAGCACTAAACTATCGAGACTTAATCCAACATTTATGTTATTATGTCTGAAAGATCTTGGTTGCAAACATGAGCGTAAAACTTCATTATTTACACTCTCATCTAGAACACTATCCTAAAAATGTTGGGCACTTTAGTGATGAACAAGGAGAAAAATTCCATCAAGAAATTCGCACCATAAAGGAACGATATAAACGCAGATGGGATGTGCATATGATGGCAAATTATTGCTGGAGTTTGAAATGAGACCTACCACAAGTATCTCATGCAAGAAAATCATTAAAAAGATCATTTTTGACTGCTTCCAAAAATTAAATATTTTTTTATTTTTTATGGTATTAAAATTGGGTATTTTTTTACAAAATTACACGTATGCCATATCTCAAAAACTAAAGTTGATAGATAAAAACGATTTTTATTTTCAAAGTCAGGATGCCATATGTCTACATAAAAGTTAATATTAATTAACTTTTTAATAATTTACATTTCAATAGTTTATATATATATATATATATATATATATATATATATATATATATATATATATATATATATATATATATATATATATATATTTAATGGTAATATAAACAACATAATTGGATAAATTTTTCACTAATAGTTTATACCTACTAAGTATTGTATTTTACTTTCTTAGTCGCCCCTTGCAGATGCTCTGGGGAATGGGGATGAGGAGTAACGACGAGCTATATTCTGCTGTGTGACTACACGGAACCTTTCATGTCACATGTGATAAAATATCATTATTGTTTATTACTGTTACAATTGCACCTAAGTAACTATCGAGGAACAATGATTAAAACAATAAATGTATATAAGTATCGTCCTATACTTAACCTAAAAAAGTTTAAAGTGATGTACAATATCAGAAAATACCGATATTATTCACATATTCAGTATTCAGTTACTTCTTACAACGTCATATTAAGTGATTTAGTTGAAATAATATTTCATAATACGATTACGTTACGATTAAGGTTCGATTTCTCTGTAGAATTAGGACGCAGGTGGCCTGGAGCAAGGAGGCTGCATGCGCGCGCAAGAGCCAGAGGGCGCTTGGCGGGAGCGCGCGGCAGTCAGCATGAGACGCGCGCGGAGTGTCACGGGCCCCTTGCGGCGCGCCCACCCTGCCTCCGGGGCCACCTGGAATGTTCAGGTATTTAACAGAAAATTATAATAAAATATCCGATTGCATTACTTTGCAACAATGTGTAACCTACCTACCTAATAGCATTTTAAAGCCTTCATAGAAAATCTAAATTTTTTTAATTCTTATGTTTATGCAACTCGTGAATGTAGCCAATGGAAGATTACGACTCAACAGTTGGCTGAGGACTTGTTGCGCAGTCACACTTTGAGTGGAATACATTAAAACTATTGTCTTGTGAATAACAGGATCCCTGGGCAATTAACGAAAGCAGAACTATAGAAATGTCAACATGAGTTCCATAAAAATGCTTAACAGTTATAAAATTTCTTATGTATTGTTAGTATCTATAAATTATGACTATATACTTACAAAAATGTGTAAATTAAATAACAAAACTAATTATTGACATAGTTTCAGTTTTTTTTTTTTTAATATAAGAATAATCACTAATCGTATGAAAAGGACACTCAAAATAAAGCTCTATACTTCAACTCATCTAAATACATTAAGCAATGTAAGAAGCATCATCTATGTATATCATTTTAAGTAGCGACGTAAAGTTGCAGATTTGTTATTCTTGATGAAGATTGGGGATAGTTCAATCGACTGTCCTGATTTCTTTCTACGTGTCCCTACAAAACCATTAAGTCAAATGCCACCTTTTTCTTCCATTTGTTTCTATTAATTATAGAAAAACTTCATATCTCCGGTGTGCAAATGTGTGTATTTAATTCTAAGATATAATCCGCAAAACATGTACTGAATTAGTAGTTCTTTGATAATTCAAATTTAAACTTTTGAATCCAATTTTTATTTTACATAACTGTCTACCTACAATGTTTTTATATTTAGTGCTGTCATATGCATGTAGTTAAATTTTATTTTTATTTGTAAATAAAACTACCTGTAATTGGCATTTTGTTTTTACTATTGTTTTTTATTATAAAATTTTATAACTTTTTTATTATTAATTTATTTTTCTTTAATAAAAAATAAATAAATAAATACCAATGTGCCTAGTTAGAATGGTAATAGATTTTCACCTATCCTATTCTTATGTAGAAAAAGCCAGTCTCCGCCTACGAACGTCGATGTAGGTATAAACCTACAACAACGTTCGTAGGCGGAGACATTCACAATACCGAGGATACAAAGAATATTACTGTACCTGTTACTAGTATAAGAATGATCTTAGATTACTTGAGTTTCTCAGTAAAACCTACCTACTATTTAACAAAAGCATTGCTCTAAAAGATCACACTCTATATCATTATAATCCTAAAGCCTATTGCAAATCTAGCTTTTAATACAATAACTTATGGTTTTTCCATTCCCAAAAAACCCATATCAAAATCGGTTCCGTTCTGAATTAGCGAAGGTATCACGTAACACATACACACAAAACATACAGCTTGAAACCTATTTCTTTCTGTAGTCGCTGCTAAACTAAAACTCTACCATATGAATAATTTTACAACACCAAACCTAATTTTAAAGTTTTGCATTGCATACACATATTTTAAATACACTATCGAGACTTAAGTATTGTATATATGATTAATATTTAAAACAACAGATTTTAATTAAAAAAAACCATTCATTTGTCAAAATTGAATTATTTTATGGTCAAAATTGAATGCTGAGTTAAACCTACTAATTCAATTCGTTTACAGGTGGTCCGAGGCAAGATGTCTTCACAATGCCTGTGGCACGCGTGCCGAGCGCTCTCCGCTGGACTGATGTTGATGTTGTTAGGGGCCGCCATGGCTGTCATAGGTATTTAATATTATTCTATTATTTAATTTTAATAATGTTAACTTCAATTGCAGGTGATCATTTCAAAAAATAATACAGAGTATTCATTATATTTTGATAAAAAAAAATCTAAACGTTGAGCATTGGTTTTTTTGTATTTATAAAATAATTTACAACATTCACCAATTCATATGGCAAAGCCTTAAAAAAAATATTTCACATAATGTAAAATAAATTTTATTTTAATTAGAAATGATGAATCATTAGAGATGAACTCCATTGCCATCAACACGTTTGATGAAGAGAAGTCTCTGTACGAGTACATATATATATATATATATATATATATATATATACTTAAGGAGTGAATTTTAATAAATGCAGTTTGTATCTGTTACTGTAATAAATAAATATAGAGTCAAATATTGCTAAATACTAATAGGTATCATGACATTAATTTAATAAATATTCTATAATCATTACCCATATATAGCCATAGCTCAACTTTCTAATACGTAAGTTTTTAAAATTAGCATTTTGATCATAACATAAAATTACAAATACTTCACATTAAAATTAATTATCAGTTAAAACAGTACCGTGTCATTTTGTAGAACTCGAAGCGCACGCTCACAAATGAGTACGTATACGTAATATAATTTCCTCTTCCTCATCGACTTTTATTACAAATGTGATGCGGTGGAAGCGTAGCGGGAGACGGGTGGTGGTTCCTGTCGGGGAGAACGTGTTCCGTAGTTGACATTTCCTGCGTCAAGCCACATATCTGTATGCAATTCCGTATTATGCATATATATGCATACTGTCAACTGTGTAATGTAATTTGACTATTTTTCAATACATACCTATAATAGATATTAGATAATATACTAACATAGATAATAGGCAATACCACATAGATCTGAGAGAGGAGAAAGGAATTGTTAGTAATGGAGTCAAATAACCCTTACAAACAATATACCCTGTCAGGTCGACCTCTACGTGGTTCCCCCTGTAAACCATCGTGGCCAATTCTAGTAGAATTCGTCAGAATGGGCTAACTGACCTGCTCTCATCCTCATCAGTCGTCTATCATTGGTGCCTCGCCAGTGTATACCCATAGCGCAGACGGGTTACCATACCATTCTCACCCATTAAAAAAAAAATAGATCTAAGATACCTATTGTGCAAATTATTTATTAGGACATTTGTTGCTTTTATTTATTTGCATAGATTCAGTAATTTCTAGGTGCTTATATTTTCTAATATTCATCTCGTTCCTGAAACATTATACATATAAGTATATTAAACATCGCAAGCACCTATAATAATCTCTATAATACCCTTTTCCATCGAGAAGTGTTAACACAAACAATCAATTATGGCTTTAAAATTAATTTAAATTATTTACTAATTATAAAAAAAATGAACACAATGATTTTTATAAACATACTGACGTCCCAATATCATATTTGAAAATATAATTTAATGCAGATTGTAAAATTTATTCTTGATTGTGAAACTATATAACGGTATATTTCACAATCAAGAATAAATTTATGTATGTAAAACACTTTTTTATATTTATCCAAAATAAATTTCTTTTTGCCTTTCAATTGCATTCACAGTTTTCATTAATTGAAACATTTATTACGTTTCAGGTTACTACGCGGACACGTTATCTGTAGCGCAAGAAGTGCGGGGCAACGCAACTATTTCTGTTAAAGACGAAACCCGAGGCTTTCACTTAAACAACCTATCGTACGCGGGTCCTATAGTCATGGGATTTGGAGGTAAGCAAATTATTTTCTACCTAGAAAGTGAATATTTTAATTTTTTAATTACAAAGAATTAAGAACAAGTAGAGATTATTGTAATTCGTTAAGTAAACACCACTGTTTTATATATTTCTACTTTAAACCATAGCTATAAGTAAATAGGTACGTAATGTTACATTATAAAGAGTTTTCTTAGTAAACAAGCAATTAAATTTTCTTAAGCTCTATATTTCCCAATCTACGATAGTCAAGTGTTATATGTATTACGTGTAATATAATGTGTTTTTATATGTTTATTAATAAATAATGTGCTACTAACAAAAAAAATCCATAGAATAAATGAATGAGTATACTTTTATTTACATCAGTATAATAGACTAGATTTTTTAAATATTATCATCACTATTAATCAATTGACATCTGACTGCTGGGCACCGGCCTCTTCCCATATATACGAGAATATGAGCCTACTATTAAAACGCTAAGCTTAGTTTGGTACAGTGTTCAATTTCGTGTTTCACTTTTTTTATTTTTTTATATTAAAACAAAAAAACTGGTATGATTTCCAGGTTTCATCGTAGTGGCGGCGTGCGTGATGACATTCGAAGCACGGGACAGTGCAGCTAAAGTGACGCCGGCGCGGCCGCAGGCGCTGCCGCGGCCGGTGCCGCGGCGCGGGCCGCCGTGCGCGGCGCCCGCCCGCCTCGACCAGCTCGGTGTGTACCGACTGCCGCACGTACTGCCGCTGCCGCATGCCTTACCGCTAGCACCCATACACAGATATCGAACACCACACGCAACCAGGTACGACCACCGACATACGCTGTCTCAATTGAACTGAATTGAAATATACTCGTATTGTAAACTATAATAATACAAAATTAACATTTAGCGTCCACCATATTTTTTTATAGATTAATTATATTTCTATTCGATTTAATTTGAGACAGATTTTACAATTACAAATTTAACATTTGACCCAGTAGTTATGCTAACCTTTTTGCTTATAAAGTACTTACATGGCGTTTCGTCTTATCATTGTTCCCATATCCGTTATTCACTAACATTATTATTAACAGATAAGGATGAGAATCGGTAGTTCAGAACTACTTATTTATTGACTTACATAAATTTCAATATTTATACTGAATAAGTGATTTAAATGATACTTTGGTTTCAATACAAGCATTATATATAATTCCATCCATATCTGTAAGCCTACCACACAGACGTCAAGTGGCCTGTTGTAATCCGTCAATCGCAGGCTTCTTGAGAAAATAGGGCAGTGAGTGTGTATGGCACAGAACGGCTGATGACAAAGTGAAGGGCCGCACTCGATTCGGCTCGGCGCCCGACTTGCGTAGCGGCAGCACGCGCGCCGCTCTGCCGGTTAGCGCTCTACGCCGGCCGCTACGTCGCTACGCGCTCTCCGTAGACGAGCCGCCGCACTCTGCAGTCAGGTAATCGTAGCTCGTAGCATTACCACATCTCCATTTCACTACTTCTGCTTGGAATCTATATAATTATTTAAATTAAGATTTGTAGTTTTTCTTATTTATTTTTTAGTTATTTATAAACCTTACCAACTTATTGCCTTTACAATATAAATGTATTTATTAATATAAATAGAGTGACTAAAGTTTTCTTTCTGCATTATTATAATTGTAAAATTTTTTAATGAAGTATTATAAACGACCGAACGATCTTCATGGACATTTTATACATGGATGAACCACATTCTGGATTTGCACGTAAAATACTTTTATCTTAATTTACGCTATCAGTAAGTAAAGTCGCAGTACGCACTGCTTCATGTTTACACGTGCACCTTACAATCTTAAGAATAGTAAACTCAGGATTAATTATACTCTATTTATGTTAATAACATAACTGAGTACATACATGTACAATGTATATATAATATACAATATATAGTAAAAATAATGATATATTTTCTGTAAATTATAAACTATCAAAGCGTAGTACGGAGGTCCGGTAGTTATCATGAAATATTTCATGGTTATCATGAGGTATCTCCGTACTGCGCTTTATTTAAGCATAGATACAATTATGTATTAGCCATAAAGTATAGAAAATGTCCTGTAACAGCGCTAGCGCAGCGGAGTCAGAGTGCGGCTCGCAGTCATCGTTGGCGTTGGACTTGCACGGTAGCGGCGCTCGCGGCGGTGTCACGCTGCGCGTGCGAGACAGCTCGCGGCGCCGCCCCCTGGCGCGACAGCAACGTCTTCGCGATGACACTATACATCGTTAGTATTAGCATAACCTAGCTATCGACGATAATCGATAGACTCCGTAGCGTAATAGTGAGCACATTGCTTGGGTTCGATTCCCGATCGGGCCAATTTAGGCAACGAACTTTTCTAAATTAGTTCCGATCTAGGTGTGACCCTCAGATGTTCGTTACTAGATTCTTCATAACACAGGGTTTCTATCTTGAGAACCAGACATTTATTATTATTATCGTTTACTAATGAACATTAGTCATATTTTGCCACCAAGTGCGATCCTGTGCTACATACATCCATTTTCCTTTGTACTGAATTCTTGCAACATTAATTGCAACATAAGATTATTCATATTCTATTTCTAACACCTAATTCACTATTACACTACGTAACATGCAAACTTATGTATAAAGAGTAGCAGTAACCACATTCTATTCTATGCATTTACAAGCTTGAAAGTTTTGAATTGAAATCAATAACTACTTTTGAGTTCGTGGTTCAGTTCATATATATATATATATTGTTACTAAATATGATTTAATATTTTATTTCTCCAAATGTGACAAAACTTCGAGATTAAATTTAAATCTTTATCTATAGAAGGTATTATTTCTCTTTGCTCTCAGGTTATTATCATCTTTAGCATATTTATATAAAAAATTAACCGTGACCTACTAAATTGACAGCAGAATATACTTAGTGTGAGAGGATAAAATTATTTTTAGAACTAATGAACAATTAGTACAAACTGTTGCTGTTAACTTTGACTGCCTAGTTATTCAGTATATTTTTTTATTCACAGCTACACCAGGCGATAGTATTAGCAATATAAACAACACTACAGAAGAATCGATAACGAGGTACCTTTTCAGTTTTTTTTTTTTAATTATTACTTATTTTATATCTACTACTTATTTAACAGCAAATGCAATGATGACATTTAACAATAGAAAAAAGTTTTAAAGATGATGATTATGTTTAATTTGTCATAACACATTCTAAGTTAAAGTCCCCCGCTGTGTTTGTCCCTGTATTTTTTTTTTTTTTGTATATGATAATCATATGAATTTCAATATGAATTACTCTACCAGATGGATTGATCGAAGAGAAAATGAAAATAAACATTTCATAGTTTTTGTTAAGAAAGTCTGAAACTGTTCCTCATTCACAAACAGTTCTAATATTCATTTGAGTTTTAATGCTTCCATTATCGTTATTTGAAATTAATTTTTTTATTGGTCCTGTAATATTTTTGTTATTTCAATCAATTTAAGTACGAAAATTATTGTCTATTAAAATAATAACAATAATCTTGAAATACTTTTTAGTTCTGTAACTCGTAATAAAAACAAATATAATTAAAGTCTCATTTTCTTTACGCCTCGTTTTCAGGTCAAACGACGAAGAGGTGGAAAATAAAAATTCAGTAGAAATGGTACATTTGTGTGGCGATCCGAGCCGCACTAGAAGCGCTCCGCCGTCGCCCCGGCAGGACCTCACTTCTTCGCCGGTCTCACCCTCTTCGCACGTCACTGACACTTGTATACTGATAGAAGAGCCAGCTATAGAAGAAGCTGCGGAATCCCCACCATTAGACAAATGAAAACAAGACATGTCTCGGGATGCCGAGACGTTGGATACCGCTACGCTCATTAATAAAGACCCTTGTTGATATTTTGTATGAAATATACAAATTTTTTAGTTATTCTTTATTATAGATACTTAATAATTTATTGTTAAGTATGTCCACTTGAGGGCTTTTCGATGTGTCTTCGGAAAACGACGACAATTATCTATTTTTTAGATCCACTGTTGTAATACCTATATTATGATGTTGTTTAGGAATGTTTATGACCTGTATACATTAGTTGTAAGGCGTTGTATGACGGAATCCATAGGATGTAATATTTAGAAGTGGTGTTATTGTAGATTATATATTGATTGATGGACTTAGTTGGTTGTAGGTATTTGTTCGCGAGAATTTGTGGTAAATCTAGGAAGCGATATTAATGTGTAAAGAACATAAAACGATACATACAGAGGGCACGTTACTTTTTATTACAGCGTAAATAACTATACATATCAAAATGAAATTTAATTGATATTTAAGTAATAATTATTAAAACAACCCTTCTTTTAAAAATCACTTAATCAATTAATTATCATTAACAATATAAAGAAAGAGAAATCAATATTTTATAAGATATTAATCGCAGGTGTTCATAGTATTCCTCAATATCAAATTAAAACTGAAAGAGATTAATGATTACTATCAATATTTTATAAGATACTAAGATGAGAAAATTTAATTATCAACAACTAATATTTTATTAATAATAAGTTGATAAACTTCTCTAACTGCAGCAGTCAGAGATGTTTATTAAACTAATACTATAGTTAGTTAAATAACTGTGGCAGGTAATCATTAATAATATTGATACATATGTACTCACAACTTGCTTTTTTAGATTTACCCTGTACTAAAATAAATACTATATTAAAAAATATATTAATAAAAGTTGTACTCACAAACAATTACGCAATATAACACTGCGAATATTTACTCAATCTTAATAATAAACCAAACAAATAAACAAAAAAATATCACCGTACATACTATTGACGCAATTACTGCATAAATAAACATTCAATATATGAATAGTTTTTACGCTGTAAAGTGCCGCGCGCTGTCTATACAGTATTTAGGTAGTAAGAACATTTATTCGTGTGCTGCGTAGCATTACGTAGCTGTCGGTAGCTGTGAAGTAGCCCCTTAATCTTGATGCCTTGTCGCCATTAAAGAGACTATATTACATTACCTAGTATTACTTAGTCAATGATGCCACCAAAATATCTTTAAAAATATGTTCAAATTAAATCGATATCAATATTAAATTTACTGTTCAACAAATATAACTAACAAATAAAATACAATAAATAGTGGCATATTTCGATTGCTATGTGTTAATAAAAATGGCAAATGTTTGTATTATATATCATAGAGATAACATAAAATAAAAATATCAAGCGTATGTCTGCCCGATGCGATGTGGATATACTGGTCTTTTGCCTTCAACACTAGTAACGCATGTGGTGAGTTATTGATGATGATGAATGTTCAAACCGCAGTGATCTAGCAACGCTAGTTACTAGCTGCAGGAATACTACTTGCTTTTTATACTGCGGTCTCCTATAGAACGGTTTGTTTACTCGTCCTCTCAACTTTACCTCTTTTTCCTTATTTGCCCTAGTAATCTAACACTGTTTTTATCAAATAAACTAATTAAATTATGTTAAAATGCGATATTAAAAAATAAAATGTCTAAGAATATTGGATAATAATACGTAAATCATACCTATAAGTATGATACTTATAATTTGTAATAATAAATAGCACTAATTAATAATATGCATAATAATTTTTCGTTCCAAAAAGTCATTAATTGTAAAAGACTGATAAAGCGAATTTTGTAAAAAGTCATAAAATAATATATTAAAATAGCATTAATCTTATTTGCTACATTCACTATTGTTTTTTTGCTGGTTTTCGTATCTGTATTATAATAAATATAAAATAAATCATGTCTAGTACATATATAGAGGTATAAATAATATATGCCTAAAACAAAGAGACTCACTAATAAGGACAACGTTGCATTTCCTTGTAATTTTTTTCAATATATGTATATGTAACATTTTTACATATATCCTGCAGTTGTGCTAAAATGAAATATATATTACAGGCACAATAACACTTATTATTTCTACAGACAATTTTAGAGCAATTATTTCAAATAATGTCTGTAAAATTATAATATCGATAATCAATACAATTTATAGTAGATCGAAACGTTGAGTTCCTTATTAGGGAGGGTATCTTAAATAGCAGTTGAGGGAGGCCTTTTGCCCAGTAGTGGGACATAATAGGTGCGTATTAATACTTTCAAAATAATTGTCGATATTTTTCCGCCCTAACTACAATAATTACTCTGCAGACTATCACACAACTTATTCTGTAAAGACATTAAATTATTGAAAATTAAAATAACCCAAACAAATACAAAAGTTTATTTTGTACTTGATTCTTTTTTAATCATCTTTCCTAGTCATAATCAACAAACCGTTTTTTGTTCGTAATACTTCTTTGTATGCAGTACACAGAATCTAGAAAGTTCTATAGTATAAAATTTTAAGCAAACAAAATAAAATCATAATAATCTTAATTACTTATTTAATGTAATATTCAAAATGACACTTCACTAATTATGTATTATAACTAAAAAAAATCGTGATGTTTTATATATATATATACGAATGTGATAAACTTTTCTAACTTGTTGTTAGAAACAGTCGACAACCGTCAGTGTTGTAACTCAGTAGTTAGTATGTATATTAATTAGATTTAAGTGTAGTTAGTATATCTACTTGAAACCTATAGATTTGTAAAGGTAGCTAAATCATAGCATTATGAATAGTACTATCAAATTTACGTTGTACCCGTACCAATACTTGCTAGCATTAATTTTATTTGTCATCTCTAGGTACCTACATAGATATTACTACTTAAATATTTTTCCTAAATTTGTCGTTATAGCTTATAATTCTTAAAATTAGTCCTCAGTAATGGCAACGTATGGAGGATATCATGGGCAACACTGTATAATATGTTATGTCTATAGTACTACCCATGTCTATAAGCGACGGTTACCACTTTTCATCAGGTGGACCGTCAGCTTGTTTGCCATCCTAAGTTGCATAAAAAAATATGTGGTAAAACTTTGCTAATATGATTGCGCACATGCACGATATAAAAGTATGCATACCAAATAGACTTTCAACTTTCGTCCAATTTCGTCCTTTGCAAAGCAATTAAAATCATAAGTGTTGCGATACGCATATAAATTTATTTAACAGCTTTTATTTTTGTATACTTTTTTAATGTAAATTAGTAAATATCTATTATCTATACTCGCATCAATGGCCTAGTTAAAAAAAAATACAAATATGACGAACAACTGTCGTGTATAAAATACTTAATTTATTCTACCCAGTGTTCATTTCATTACTAGTAGTTAACATTTTTATATATATTTTACATGTACCTTTGCTAATTGAGAACCGATTTTAATGTTTTTTTTATCGAAAGGTTAAATTATTCCCATAATAAGACAATATTTATATTCCAGAGTTTAAACTTACATGAAATGGACACTTATTCGAATTCCGTGTATTCAAAAGCGTAGTTCCAAATCCAAATTCTGTATATTGAGTGCTCAAGTACCTAATTAAGCCTATTAGATATTCGAGTCAGTACTCAAGTCAGCCTGACTAGGTATATCACTAATTCAATGAGTGATGAATTACGATGTATATCCAACATTTTTATAATAAGCCAATAAATTCTTCACCAAGACTTAATCTAATATACCTAACAAAAAACTTCATCCGTGGAAAATCATTCATATCACCATCATATCTGTGGAAGTAGTACAAGTGTGTTCTAACTTATAAAAATGTATTCCAAACTAAACAATCTCCAACATTAATAACATCAATATTTTTTATTACCTTATCTGATAATTAAGGACGCTGATTTGTTTTATCTTCATCTCAGGTACCTTACGAGATAGACTTCTTTTTAATTATATGTTATATTAACAACTAGGACAAAATTCAATATCACTTATCAATTTATGTAAGGCATTCCCAAGACTTATTTTTATTAATCATTTATCTGACTGATCCGCCAATTCGTAATATAAAACTTTTATACAAATTTGAAATAATTAAGGTATGTATATACCTTCATTAGTGTATACAGAGCTCTTGTAATTATTAAAATATTATTTAAATGATGTGTACTCGATCCAAATGGTTGTTGTGATGTCTATTAAATTTGTTGAAGATAAGATTTTTTTATTTATTATTATTTGCAACAAAATACTCGTATATTATCGATCTATAGAAAAGGAATCACCATATAAATTAAATACAACTCAATATAAAACTACGTTAGCAGTCACCTAGACGGCGTAGTAATTTTAACCATATTCCCCTCTTATAAGAAGAAACAAATGGATTTTCTTGATAAATAAACATTTGAATATGCTATATTTAAAAAAAAATGCGTCAGAAACCAAAATGGTTTTCTCGAACGTGGTTGCTCCATCTAAGTGTATATGATATGTTTGACTTATCATGATCAATTGCACGACAATATAATAAAAACACTTTAATTACATATATGTGATTATTTGCTACTAACATAGTCCAGAAGACGTATTACTACCAAAGAATTAAATCTCCTACGATGTTGAAAGTATAATTCACTAACCAAAATTGATAAAATATAATTGCAATTCATTCACCAAGAAATCTTCATTTTTCCTAATATAATTATATTAATAATTCCTAACGAGATTAAAACTATTCTACTTCTCAATTTAAAGTAATATACGTGTATAAATTTTATTAAAATTGATTTAACGGTTCAAAAGGCGTTAACAAACATTGTGTTACGGGATTTTATATATTATAATTGTATGGTTTCTTCTGTATATCAAAGTGTAGATCACACACAGGCATTACTGATGTGCAGTGATTTGATCATCACAAACTGTAGCTGAACCCGAGGTAATCCTATCAAAGGTGTCCAATCCGATAATCCACAGAATCAAATTAACGTGTAATACAAATGCTATAAAACTGGGAAACTCGCTTCGGATACTAGCAGTCAGTCTGTTGGGTGGGCTATAAAGCGCACTGCCTACCGAGGACTGCTCACACCCCGTCGAAATAATGGTAAACAAAACAGATGACTACTTTTATCCTGGTCCCCATATTGAACACCTTAGGTGAGTTTTATACAAAGATATTTTATGAGTAGCTATATTTATATTCTATTTTTAAAAATATGTTTTTTTTTCTGTATCTAAAAATTATTGATTTTTTATTTTTAATTTTTATATACTTTATATAAACAAATATGTATGTAGTTTTGTTATTCATATCTAATTAAGTATTGTTACGCACAAAACAAAATTAAGTATTACTTTCACCATAACCAAATACAATCTTTTTTTAATGGACAATAAATGGAACGATAGCCCCTCCTAGGTTGGATTCAATCTCGTCATCATCATCCTCCCAAAGAAGGATGATGATGACGAGACTGAAAGCAGATCAATCATGGTTTATTCTTAATAAATTCCTCACGATGAGTCACATCGTAAGGAATTTATTAAGAATAAACCATGATTGTTTTCAGGGGGAACCGCGTGGAGGTCGACTTAACATGGTATATTGCTAATAATGGAGCCAGCAGTCTTCGTTACTAACAATAAATTCTGATTACAATCCCCCCCCCCTGATTACAATCATTAGCATGCTTTTTATATATGCATCTGCCAATTAAGCTATTTATATATGAATACAGATGCACGCTGGAGGACAAGAAGCGTAAACCTCGCTGTAATAATTGTAACCAATAATAATTGTATTTTTATATCCATCTTTTATAACCATTATTACTGTTGCAACAGATCTAGTGCTGAAGAAGAGATGCTTGGCGCAGGTCTAACTGGAGAGGACTTAGCCGCAGTCCCAGAACATTGGCTCTCGTTTCCCGCACCCCCGGCCAGTGCGCACACTGCTCTCGCATTACTGTACATTTTCTTCACTGCAGCAGCACTGCTTGGAAACGGCCTCGTAATCTTCATATTTTCAACGTTAGATTATTTATGTGCTTTTTAAATCTACCGACTAATGATTAAGTGACAAATGAGTTCATTGGTAAACATGATCTGATTATAGATCGTAAGAGAAAGAATAAGACATCAAACATTGCAATTTCATCCTATCTTAATCAGCGATGCATTCATTGACCGCTTGCCTAGAAAAGCTGCACGAGTGTTAGAACATATTATTGTACCACAGTTTAAAGAACAACCAGTGGATCAATGCTTTTGTCTATACCAAACAATTATATGAAAATTTGAAATGCATTGCTGTCTAAACATATCTGGTCAATAAAGATGGTATAACCACAGTCTTCAATAGTTATACCATCACTACTTATTTTCATTTCACATAGTAAAAAACGAGTAACCAAAATACTATACAACTCCAGCTTGCGTACTAATCTAATATAAAGGGACAATAGTGCAGTTATATTTGCTATTATGAAAATACTATTTTATGATTTTATTGTCTTTCTTCTCTTTTGATATCAATGACAATCCAAATTTCTATAAGCCCAAAGATTCCTTATCTACGATTAGAAATATTCTTTTATTTAATTCATTATAGGCGTATGTTTTTGGACTAAGTAAATTATACCTACTAAGGTATCACATATTTAAGTGAGTTTATAGTAGTAGTATTATTATCACTTTATAGGACGAAGAGTCTTCGAACATCAAGCAATCTTCTGATCCTACAGCTAGCTATACTGGACTTTATAATGATGGCCAAGGCACCTATATTTATCTACAATAGCGCTATGCGAGGTTTTGCTACCGGCGTAATTGGATGCCAAATATTTGCTGTTATGGGTGCTTATAGTGGCATTGGTGCAGGAATGACCAACGCTTGCATAGCATATGACAGGTAAGGAAATAAATAAAGACCACTGGACATATTATGCTGTCTAGTCCCAAACTAAGCAAAGGATGATATTATTATAAGATCCTTATTGATTACACTTTACCCAATTCAACTTTACACACTTACTCTATAAAGAAAAAGTTTTTTTGTTTGATAAAAAATTTTGGTAGAAAAACTATTAGAATGCTTCATACACATAATTATGTCTCATATATTATTTATGAATCTGTAACATTATTTTTATAATATATATTTTATATTATAACTTAAAAACAATAACCTTCTCCGAAGGTCCTTATTCTAAGTTTAAAAACTATCATCAAAATTATATAATAATCGCAATTATTTAATTTATCCAATTAATTTTATATTGTTTTTACATTTCTTTCAGGCATTCAACTATAACACGACCCCTTGATGGGCGGCTATCACGTGGTAAAGCACTATTGATGATAGCAATAGTGTGGATTTACGCTACGCCATGGGCATTATTGCCGTTGTTCAAAATTTGGGGAAGATATGTGCCCGGTAAACAATTTTAAACCTAGCTCAATGGAAACCTAATAATTATAAAACTAAAACTGTTTCATAGTATTGAATTTCAATTTCATATTACTAAATTATTTCAATGAAATTAGTTCATTATTTGTATAATTATTCATATGGTAATTTTTGTTATTACATTATTTTAATATTTTTAACTTAAAAATTTGTTCACAGAGGGATACCTAACTTCCTGTAGCTTCGATTATTTGACGAACACTTTTGACACGAAACTATTTGTGGCGTGCATTTTCACTTGCAGTTATGTTTTTCCTATGTCCATGATTATATATTTCTACAGTGGCATTGTGAAGCAAGTATTTGCACATGAAGCAGCATTAAGGTAAATTCATTTATTACGTACTAATATGAAGATTCAAGAGCTTTATGCTATATAAATAATGCCATGAACATCATATAAAGTTAGTGCTGCCTTGGACAAACATCAAACCGTTGTCATTCTTGAGAACTTATATATAACTGAATACGTTATGCTTCCTATAGCCAAGTTTTTTCTAGTGATCATACCCTTTATACAAACACACAAAAGCTTTGTAGTACAAAAAAATAAGATGGTACTAACTACAAGTGACATGTTTAATGATGACGACAAAATTAAAGTTAATATTCAAATTATTTTCCACTTTTATCCATAGGGAGCAAGCTAAGAAGATGAATGTGGAATCTCTCAGAGCAAACCAGAATACTGGTGCTCAATCAGCAGAAATACGCATAGCGAAAGCTGCGCTTACAGTATGTTTTCTGTTCGTGGCATCGTGGACGCCGTACGGTGTGATGGCGCTTATAGGGGCATTTGGAAATCAACAACTCCTCACACCTGGGGTACTCAGATTTTTTTAGATAAATGTTAGTTGTAATAAGCGATGCATTCCAGCAACTCCTTTAAAAAGTAAAACTTAAGTTTAAATGATTACCATATCATATCAGCTGTTAACTGTCCACTGCTAAACATAGGCCTACCCCATAAAGGGAGTGGGGCTCCAGTAGTTGCCACGCCTTTAGACTATGGTGATTCTTTATAAGAGGAACGCCGCTGCCCATCCCTCGACCATTAAGTCCCCTTAGTTGCCTTTTACGACACCCACGGAAAAGAAGCGATGACCCATTCTACGCCAGGATCACATGGCAAGTTTAAATGATTAATAATTTAAAACTTAAGCTTTACAAATATTTACCTATTATACCGACAGATCGACTACTTTCTTTTATACATACTACCTGTTGTCCGCTGTGCGAAAATCTGTGTATCGCTTTTAAGTGAAAATTTTTAAAAATACTTTCTTAGTATGTTATGTTTATAATATATGTATTAACAATCACTGAGAAACTTACTTTAAATAAGACTATCCCAATAACAAAAAATGTTTAATATGACTTCATAAGGGGTCAAACTCTATTTTTCTATACATTACTCGTTAGACCAATTTTAATAAACCATGTATCAATTATTAAGTAGGACTATTATTTAATTGAACTTCATGTAGCTAATATCAAACATACAAAAAATAACAATTTAAACAAACATATAAAATATTTTTTAAATATTTCATTACTTATTTATAGATAGTTAACTACTTCATTATACTTTGTGACCATTGTGATTTTATTACAAAAAACATAAAGATAATTTGAAAATGTTCCAGGTTACAATGATTCCAGCTGTAGCATGTAAAGCAGTAGCATGTATCGATCCTTGGGTGTATGCAATAAGTCATCCAAAATATAGGTAAGATCAATTACAAACAGATGCACAAAATTTTAGATTTTATTACTAACCAAAAAAGGCGTCTAATGTTTTCAGGGTTCAAGTATGTATGTCAATTTCTTTATTGCACCACTAGCGATCCAAGTTCACACGGATAGAGAAAATTTCCGAAAATTGATAGCTTTACACGCTGATAATATTGCTATGGATAAAAAAATTAAAATTGGTTGAGTAGTATTTGAGTTTATCCATTACCAATAAACAATCAAATCTTTCCTTTTTACAATATTAGAATAAATAACTTTTAAATGCTTGTTTAATTTTTTTTTTAATTGTTCATTTGTTGGTAGGTGGTTAGTTTTGTACTTAATTTTTCTATTACCAATTCCGTTATATCTTCTACTATTTGTGTATGTTGTATTATACTAAAATTGTATACTTATATTTAAGACAAGAACTTCAACGGCGCATGCCATGGCTTCAAATCGATGAACCTGACGACACTGTCTCGACTGCAACGGCAAATACTGTCAACAGTGCTCCATCCGCTCCAACAGCCTAAACCGTATATAAGAAAGAAAATACTGAAAATACAATAGCTAGGGATTTTTCCTCAAAGCGGTAGACATTTCATTAATCAGCTATTGCTACAGACGCCGCTATCAGTAAAAATGGCATTAGTAGAAATGTATTAACTGTCAAGAAAGGCAAGAAGTAATATATGGTGTATTTAATGGAGTACCAATCTTTGCTCCTTGTCCTGACTATATAAGTACACTGACTTATAATAAAAACATACAAGTAAATTTTGTAAGAGCAAGAAATTTATAACTAATTAAGATGTGATAATATAACAAAACAATGTTATATTCTTATACGTTGCTAGCGGAAACGACGGTACCAAATTACAACCAACGAGCTCAAATGAGGTTCATATTTTAGGTAATTTACATATCAACATAGTTACTTTAGTTAATATCGAATAATACAGATATTTTAACAACGTCAACGGCATTGCTAATGGACTTTGAGTAATATAAGTATTTTTATGTAATATCATATTTTGCATTTGAAAAAATATTGTGTCTCAAGCAACGATTGCATTTTTATTATCTCTACCTGCAAATAAACGATAAAAAATAAATACATATGTTGCAAGTCACAATTGGAATTTAGCTAAAAATCATAAGTAATATTATTAATACTGTCCGTCTATTCGCTTTATTTTAATAATACCTGCATCAGAAATACTTGAAGACTAATAGAGGAATTTAAAATTAACCCGTAAGGGGGTAGAACAGGCCAATGAAGTCGTGGGTGAAAATTAGTAAATTATATATTTTTTATTCAATAAAACAAACAATAACCATTGTAATTCCAATTCACCTTTCACTTATCCACAAAAATTAGGTAGGTATAACTACGAAAACCAACATACTCATACATAACTTATAAAATGTTTAGGACTTCAGGAACCACTAAACATTGATTCAATTATCAAATAAATCACAAAGGTAATAATTATCATCCACTAAAAGTATAAAAACAATGTAATATTGTCCAAAAAATATATTTTTATTGTAGTAGACAACACGAGGGCGCGCGCCCGGCGCCCAGCCTGCACTGCGCGCGCGTCCCACAACAACGCTTCGCTATCTACGTCCAGCTCTCTGTTTTAATAATTGGAATAATTTATTTAATAATTACAACGCTTTTTTATCTGTCCATATTTTAACATTAGGTATAACTAACTTCGTCTTGTATAACTTGGTGTAAGAACAGCCTTCAGGAATTGAAATAGGGTGGCGCAATATGCGCCTCACAGCACTGTTTCCATTTCTACTCGTGTCCGCTCTCTGAAATAATAAAATACATAGTGGCTTATAAATATTTGATGATAAAAAGTAATTAGAGACAGTATTTATTGATTTTAACACGCATATATAACAATAGACAATGTCCTCCATGTGGCGACGAAGTACAAATAGTAGAGCTGTATGACATCATCGTATCAACTACGAGAAGTCATTACCAGAAACTTTTTTTATCAGTACTAACTAATACAATAGACCAGCCAATACCAGAGAAAGATCATCAAGCTGTCTGAGCGGAGTGTTATTTCCAATTAAGTAATCAGACCAGTTAATTTCCTGCCTTAAAGGGAAATACTAATTCTTTTGAACTTGTAGTTCAATAAAGGGTTATATAATGACAATATTGTTACCTGCGCATTACAAGCAAACTATCTTTGCATCAGAACTGAACGGAAAAAGGTAACTCAGAAGTTTTTTGATTGAATCGAAATACAGTACGATGATCGCAACCCTATATAATATTAATCGCCTTAGTAAGAACAACATTTAGTAAACAATATTCGAGAACCTGGCGCGTAAATCGCCGCAAGACAGCGGACGGTCGAGATCCGGGAGGAGGTCGGCGGTGGCGTGCAGCGTGCGCGGCCTAGTGGCGTCGTGCGGCAGCCCGCCGGCCAGCAGCGCGGCCGCCGACGCCAGCCGTCGCGGCGGCGGCTGCAGCCCGTGCGCCGCCAGCGCCGCCGCCAACTGGCGGGCGCGAGCCATCGCTGCGTCGCGTTCATGACGCGCACGCCACACCTTGACAAATCAAATTAATCATCCTTATTATATTTTCAAACTGATTTCAATTTAACAATAAAAACCACAAGTAAATGTAGTATCACAACAAACAAAAACAACGACTTCAATTGTGGCAAAACCTGTTATTTTGATTTAAAAACTAAACTACCGAATTAATTTCGATAAAGTTTCTATAGTATTCATCTGAAAGTATGTCTTTTAAGATAAAAAAAAAAAGTACAAATCGGTTTAGAAATGACGGAGTTCTAAGGTAACAAACAAAAATGAACCGAATTGAAAACCTCCTTTTTTGAAGTTGCTTGAAAACAGAAAAACTTGTATCTATACTAGCAGTATTTCTGTTATAATTCAAATAATTGAAAGTAGTATAATACTGCTATTCTTATGGCTTCAATAATACCTCCTTAACTTTATAACGTTGACAGACATAAGATTAGTTCGGGTTAAATGGAATTTTCATTGTGAATACAAATTGAAATGAATCTGCTAATATAGTCTACTCGTAATACCCTCAATGTAAAATCGGCAAATATAATTATTATTTCAACCGTTAACTGTCCACTGCTAGACATAAACCTTCCCCATAAGAGGAGTTTTGCCAGTAGTTGCTACGCTTGGCAGGCGGGTTTGCAACCGCAGTTAGGCGAGATGTTTTAAGAGGTATGCTGCTGCCCATCTCTCGCCATCCCTTAGTCCCCTTTTACGACACCCACGAGAAAGGAAGTGTGACCCATTCTAAGCCAGGACACAAACTGCAATATAATATACAGCATATATAAAATATAAATGAAAATAAAGGAATGTTAACGGCTAATATAATAATATAAATTATGAATACAAACGGCAGTATTTCTCGCTTACATTAGTACATTACTGCAGCGGCCAGCAACTGAGGCATTGATGGACGAACGTGCAAATGTGGACCGAGGCGTAGTCGAAACACACATACGTGAGTCCATCAATGCCTAATTGTGGCCAAGGCTTGTATAGTACTTTTCTCAAACAATGCGCGGAAATCAAAAACACAATTTTACTTTTTAAGTTCAATGACGAATAATGAACAATAATAATTTTTCACGCGCCATAATGTTACTTTGTTTTTTTTTTTTTTCAATAAAAGCTTTCTATTTGCAAACCAGTTTGAAATTTAAATAAAAACTTTTATTAGTTACCTCCTTGGTAACCATGTTTTGAAGTAAAAGGTCATTTCATTTTTAAATTACAGGACAGATATAGGTTTACATAGTAATTTATCTGGCCGCAAAACACGACAGATATGGATTTTTGTACAACTTTTGCCGGTCGCTGCCCGCATGTATCTGGCCAGTACGGCAATTTTGATTTATCTCGAAGAAGATTGTCAAAATAATGCTCACATTTCCAAGCATGTTTGAGAAAATTATATTTATTTCTATTCACTTCCCTTCTACACTGTGCCTATATATACGCGTGTTAGTGCCAAAAATATAAGTAGATATTTGATATTCTGGCAATTGTTTTCTTGTGATAGATATATGGTTTATGATATGAACATGGCTATATATGAATCAATTTATAAAGGACCAAAGAAAACTTCATTTGATGCTAAATTTATAATAGACTGCGGTGAAACTTTCTATTCACTGGAGAACAAAGTGCCTACACAGCAACAGTACTGAAGAGCTTAGGTAACTATGTCAGGTATTGAATTGACAGTTAATTTTCTAATTAATAGTTAATTTATACATAAATTTGCAATCCCTTGTGAGATTGAATTTTGATGACTAATTATACTAATCTGTATTAGGTAAACTTCTGTGTAAGTTAATAAATTAATTATTTAAATACCTACCATTTATACATATTTGTGTATGTGTGTGTGTATATATACATATGGTTGGTATCTAAAGTATTATGTGAGATTACCTGAAAGTGAATTTGTTATGTAATGGTTGACCTAGTTATTTTATACAATTAGAAATGGAAATGAGCCTACAGACCGCCAGAATAAAACGCTTCTCATCGTTTACAAATATAAACAGCATACATAATATATAGTATATTATGAAAAATAAACTGTAAAAAGTACAGCTTTAAGTAAAATAACATTCTAATGTGTAATTATAAAAACATAAAAGGGTAAATACCTGGGCAGCACAAACAGCTGAGCGACAGTGACCCCGAGATCCGGTACCGAAACCTCGAGCTGCTGCCTCTACCACGGCGCCGTGGAATGACAAAGATTGACCTGAAAAAAAATCATTAAAATACAAGCATTAAAATATGCTTATAGCAAATCATTGCCAATTGAAGTGCAATAAACTGTACCGATAACTACTTATGTATTAGTTTCATTTCATAACTTTTGCCTCTACGATAAATAAATAAAGAAAAGATGATGCCTAAATATTTAACAAAAATTGTGTTATGTACGTAAAGTAAGTCATTAGTTACATTAGTGTAAGACTTAGAAGAGAATTTTTGTATCATCCTTCTTACTTATAAACATGAATTATTATTAATATTATAATATTACCTACAGAACAATATTTTATAGAGAAGGAACATACTTAAGAATATAAAGAACATAAACCGCCGTTTGTCTAGTCCTTAATATGATTCTGAAGAATAAGGACTACTTGCCAGTATCCGTGACTGATAATTACTTACTAATACCTAATCTTTAAAGATATCTTTTAACTATATGTTATTTATTTACCCATGGATAATGATACGAGGGCACAACAAGAGCCGACACTGGAGGCGGCAAGATGTGTGCGCATGTATCGGAAATAAACATGTTCTAGCAGTAGCAACAGCGCCGCCAGCAGAATTCCTGCCATCAGGAGCAAAAATGCCGACAGAAATTGCTCCAATGCCAATGGGTCAGACGACTTATGCTCTTGTTTGTTCGGCTTGCATGTTCCAGTCATCCAGTACCTACAAACATTACATGAATTACCACCATATTGGCTCTATATAAACTCATGTATATATTCCTGATTAAGAAAAATTAAACAATAAAAAGATAGAGATCGCATAGCGGTGCCAAGATATTATGTGTGATGCACGCATTATGCAGAAACTGGTGAAAGCTTATCGGTCTTCCAAACCTTATGTTTGCTGATATAAAAATATATTCCATTCTAAGAAATACAAGTATAAGTGAACAGAGGGAGACTTTGTACAAAAGTCGATTGCTTGGGTACCTCTATCCCATTCATGTTTCAACCGTGAAGCAGTTGTGTTTGCATGGCTGTGTTTCGGTTTGAAGGGATAGATATGACGTGAATTTACTGGGTACAGAGGAATAACACCTGAGTCCTCAGGAATGGCAACGCATGGGGGGTATCATGGGCAAAACAATATACTCTGTTATGTCCATGGTACTGCTCATGTCTATAGGCGACGGTTACCACTTTCCATCAGGTAAGCCGTCAGCTTGTTTGCCATTCTAAGTTGTATAAAAAAAAAA